ATATATAAGAGTAGGTTTAACATTACTCAAGAGAGATTGTTGAACAAAATATGAACATCATTCTTCAAAATTCAATCGTGTTATCAAAGTGTAAAAATAAGGTTAAAAAGGATTATTGTTTGGGAATTCGGGATCCTAGTACGTTTGTCATTTATTTAAACACATCAACTTTCATTTAGCATATTTTGCATTGAATTTAGTTAATTATTTAATAGTTACTTACGTAACTTATTTTAGTTATAATTTCATCACAACAACCACATCTTAACATCTTGTTTCGACTAAAGCCGTGATAATTAGAATAAAAAAAATCAATCTCTATGAGATGATACTTGGACTCAAAATTTATTTTATTACTTGTTAACGAATCGTATACTTGTAGTGATTTCAGATCGAAAGATATTATCACATTACAAGTTTTTGGTGTCGTTGCCAGAGTTTGAGTTTTAGTTTGATTTTATTTATCTTGGTACTAATTTGGACTTCTACTTGTATTATTGTATTGTTATTTTCATTTCATTTTAGTTTTTTCATTTTTCTCTTTTTTCAAGATATATAAAGGAACAAAAATAGTAGGATAAAAGATGGCTATGGTTATTTTCAATAAGATGCTCGTATGTGACTTCATTACAAGGCAACAACAATTGGCATCTCAATAAATTGATGAGGATGATATGTTTATGTGAGATTTCATTACAAGACAAAGACAACAAAATTTAATAGAAGAATGTTAACTTGATGAAACTCTTCTGGGTGACTTACCTGTTGCATTATTTCTCTCACAACAATTTGATGTGGGTGATTTACCTATGAGATTATCTCTTCCATCGGTTATTAATAGACATCAATTAAGAAAATCACGTTAATCGGATTTCTTACATATACAACAAGAAGAGAAGACTCTTTGAGAAGATGTCATTATTTTTTTGCCGAAAGTTTTGAATACGAACATTGAACTTGAGAGCATTTCAATTAAAGAAGAGGACCATCGAAAGATTGAGGAATTACTCATAAGAGACGAAAAAGAACTTGTAACATTCAAAGAAGAGGAAATTAGCATCCCATTCCTCGACTTTATCGCTTGCACAAAAAAATGATTTGTGATTAAATCTTGCAAGGAGATTTAAGTTTACATTGTTGAGTTTGAAATGGGTGATGAGGGAAAGTCATACTATTTGGAAAAGTGTAAGGTTAAATTTTAGAGGAAAGTTGCAATGTGGAACAAAGTCATATTGAGACAGCAAAGTTAGAACTCCAAAGCCATATTTAAAGTGCCATAACACACTTGTGTTAATAGTTGAGCCCTAGCTAATAAATCGAGAGCTTAACGGGAGGCACCCCATTTTTCTATCCCCTTTCACTTATTTTGATTAGCTATTGCATTATACGTATTTTTAGGGATTGCATTAGCATTTTATAGCCATAGATAGGAACTCATGCATTTAATGATTTTTAAAACATTTTAGATAGTATTTTTAAGACAACATAACTACGTTTACTTATTGAATTTATTTTATTTAGGCTCATCGTTAATATCTTAGCATTACATTGAGCTTGAATTGATTTGATTTGATGTGATATGTTTTCTTAAAGTTGCACTTAGATTTCAATCTTCTTAATGTTAGAAGATTAGAATTATTCTTGGTGTGAATACATTACAAATATTTAAACCTTATTCGCTATTGTTAATATTTATTTTAAATTTTTTGAAGTAGAAATTTAAAGCCTAGCACCAAAGAAAAATGATGATTATCATGACATCTACCAATCGGACCAACTTGATCCTTCCACCTATTTGAATCTGCCTCAGGAAGTTTTTGATTCTTACTACTTTATTTTGATTATTTTTGCTTTTACGTTAAGGACAATATTTTATATAAGTTTAGGGATGGTAGAATTTTCATGGCACATTCATCAATATTTTTGTATAATTTACTGCTTTTTGTGCGATGTTCATGTGAAAAAAAAATAAAAAATTGTAGCTTTATTTATTTTCTACTAGTTGGTTATTGTTTTGTGTGCTTATTTGGGTTTGATAGCCTTGTTGGAAATGGTGTTGAATATTGGAAAAGGTATGAATAAGAATAGTGGAAATAATCCACGATTATGCTAGTTAAAACTTGTTTACATGAAACTTGACATTCTCTGTGCACGGCACTAAAATTTTACAGGTTAAGTTGGTGATTTAGTTCCTTATTTAGAGAAGAGTTGAATAGAGTAAGTTAAACTTGAAAAACCTCTGTTGTACTTATCCATAATCCATTATTAGAGTAGTTTGGAAATTGTTGAGCTATTATGGAAGGATATTGAGATGAGTAGGGATTTCGTGCATAAATTTATCTTGTGTGGATTGTCTAAAACCAACGAGATGAAGATGAAGTGAAAGTTTTAAGTTAGGTGTTGGTTTTGAAAACTAAGTGTCTAAAAAAGGGACGTAGCATAATCTATGAGAGAACAATATTTTTCTCAAAGCCTTTATGACTTGAGCAAGTAAGCCTGTAAGGGTATTTAAAAATCTGATGTCCTAAAGTCAAATTTTTGCTTGGTAGTTATCGGCCTAAAGCTCGACAAAAGGGTCACATAGAAAGCAAAAGGGGATGAAATTAATAAAAATAATCTTCTTGAGACTTTATAACTCGCGTGAATAAGCCTGTAAGGGTAATTAAAAATCTGGTGTCCTAAATTCAACTGATTCTGAAGTCATTGATCTAAAGCTTGACATATAGGTTATATAGCAAAGCAACTAAGAAGATGTTAAAATGAAAAGAAGAAAACAAGAATAAGTGAGAAAAGACACTATTGCATTGATTTAGCCCCAAAACATTTGGTTGATAGAACTATACCTTCAGCGTGAGGCAAGTAACTTTAAAGGTTGAAGTAATCAATAATAAGAGAATCTTTACTTGTTGAAGTGTGAGCTTGTGACAGGGTCGGTCTTGGGCACAGGCAAATGAGGCTTGTGCCTCAGGCCCAAAACCACGAAAGGCCTATTTTGGCCCAAAGTTTTTTTTTTATTAATATTAAAAGAAGGAAAAGGAAAAGGAGAATTGTTTTTCTATTAGTTGTGAGATGATTGAGATATTTGTTTATTGTTTTAATTTTAAGTTTTAAGTTAACAATATGTTGCATAATATATTGTTGAATTTTGCATTTATATTAATTTTGGGGGGCCTAATTTTTGGACTTCGCCTCGGGCCCCAACAATCACAGGACCGGCTCTGGCTTGTGATAGTAATATCTATTAAAACTAAGAGAGGGTAAGGATTCGAATTAACTAAACTTCAACTTTAGAACACACCCCGGGATAATTGAGTGAAAAGAATAAGTTTTGGGGTGTATCTCTCAAAAGAAGAAAGAAAATATCTTATTGCTATGGGTTGGGAGTCGAAGCATTAATGAATTTGATATGTTTACATGAGTTCACACACACACAGACATCGAATTATGCATATAATAGGTGGAGGTTGAATTGATTTTGCACTGTTAATGCTATTCATTGTTGATTACTAAATTCTAATCCTGAGACATGGCAATTTGTCAAACTATCTTTTGTATAGAATTACCCTACAGTTTGTTTGATGACAAGCAATAGTTTAAGTTTGCGGGTTTGATAAGTACGTTTTACACATTTATTTAAGTCACAAAACATGAATAATTGTTAGTAATAATGTTGAAATACGACTTAATTATATATAAATTATATTTTTGTAGGACAACATTGATAAATATTGTGGAATTTAGGAAAAACGAGCGAAAAGGACCAAAATGAAAGAAAACCGAAGTTCAGGGACCAAAGTGCACATATTTGAAAGATGACTCGAAAGAAGAAACGAAGAGATGAAAGAGTCAAAAATTATTAGAGTAAAAGAATAAAGTATTAGAAGAAGAAGGAATAAGAAATGAGGTCAAGAAATGAGAAAATGGAGTATGGGGACTAAAATGCAAAATTTGGAAGCTTAGCAGCAGTATGTGGTTGCATAGTGTATTTTCATGCTGTCACATGCTCATTTCAGCAAGTTCCAAGGCTGGTTTTCTTTAAACTATGCTATAGCATTGATTTGTACTATGCTATAGCATAATACAATTTCGGTGAAAAAAAATCTTCTTTTCTTATTTGATTAAAATTTTATGGAAACAAATCTTGAGACACTTTTTAAAGTCTAGGGCCATCCATAAATGTTCACCACGTATCATAATGAATTCATAGAGGTTTTGGAGATAGAAGGAGGCCAAAAACACGAAGAACGATTCCTAGACTCAATGATTCAATTCAAGATATAAATTGGTGATGTCATTTCTTCAATATCCTTTTTGTTTTCTTCTTTTTAACATGCTAAGCTAGATTTATTTGTGCTAGGAGAATGATGAACCATGTGATATTAATTTTTAATCTTTAATTTTACATATTTGACATAAAAAACGTATTTTTGGATATTGAATGGTTTATATGAATTTCTTTTCTCCACAATTATTGTGGACAGTAATTATGCTAATGTGGTGACTTATTTTATGCATTCAAAAAAAGGAAAATGGGCTCGACATGGTATAAATAATTAGAGTGTCCGATAGGGGATAGAGATATACTGTTTTGCCTCATGTAAATCTTTAAGTATTTATAAAAATTCAAGCATTTTTGAATTTTCGCATCCATCATAAAAATATAGTTGAGTTATATATGAGAGTAGGTTTAATATTATTTGAGAGAGATTGTTAAATAAAATAGGAATATTAGTTCTTCAAAATTTAATCATGTTGTCAAAGTGTAAAACTAAGGTTAAAAATGGTTATTGCATGGGAATTCGGGATCTTAGTGCATTTGTCATTCATTAAAACATATCAACTTTCATTTAGCATACTTCGCATTTAATTTAGTTAATCCATTCATAATTGCATACATATTTTACTTTAGATATAATTTCTTCACAACAACCACATCTTTACATTCTTGTTTCAATTAAGGTCGTGATAATTAAAATCGAACTAAATCAATCTCTATAGGATAATACTGAGAATCAAAATCCACTTTATTACTTGCTAACAAATCGTACACTTGCGGTGATTTTAGATCGAAAGATATTTTCGCATAACATTGAACTCTAGAAATTCTCAATCCAACAGGTTTATTAAAATCTATTGATAGTGGAACGCAAAAATTACCTCAGCTAAAAGTTTCTGAATGGATTTTTGAGACACTTTTCTCTAACATTCATGTCATCCTCAAAACTTCATACATAAAATGGGCCATAAAGCCTCACTGCTGCTATTGGGATCTCACAATTCAGTGACTTGGGATGAAATACATGATTATTCTGTTAACATACTCGATAAACTCTTGCAGAACTGTTCATCATTTTTTATTATCAGTACAAGTAAATCTGAACCTGAAAAAATGTATTAACTTGATGAAAGAAGGATATCTACCTCTTTGAACAATTTCAGCTCTCCTGAAGATTTTGATATTTGCACTACACAGTGCTTTGGTGCCACCTCAGTTACCTTATATTTTGCGACATTTTAAAATTCGTTAGATTATGATTTTCTGCATGATGGACAGGAAATGGAACTTCATTTACCTCTGCTGCTAGGTCCAAGCACGATTTGGAATGCCTTTCCATCTTATTTGTGGGATGCATTCTCATCTGAAAATTTTTTATGGGTTGTCAAGAACAGAGAAATTATACAAAATTTGCTAAAAATAATTTGGATGTACCTTTGTCGTGTTTATTTTTTCAACAGATAGGCTTGCATCCTTAGCAGCAGCTTCGATTTTCTGTATTGTTTCACTGATAGTATGCTTAGATCCAAGTTTTGTTTTCCGTTTCTCAGTCTCCTAGTCTCGAACAAGGATTTACAGAATTTTATTTTGGAAGTTAAGTAATCAATTTGGTAAGCAATTTCCAAAACGAACATATGCACTTGCCTGTTCTTCAAATAAGCCAGACAAATCTAGGTCTTGTGATGTTGCTATCAGCTGGAAAGCATTTATAAAACTTGTAGGCTGGGAATCCTTGATTTCTGCTTCAGTTCCCTGGTGAAAATTGGATTCATTTCTACTAGCTATTGAATCATTTATGCTTTCATGACCTTTTTTGCGTTTCTTTTTTTTACCTTTATTATATCAAAAACTGCCTGAAAATCGTCCCTTTTTATGTATTCGTCAGATTTTATCTGCATCGCTGGCTCATAATCTGTCTGAAACCACAGATCTGCGAAATATTTACTTCAGTGAAGATCTGTAATCAAATGGACAGAACATTTACTGAATTTTTATTCACCAGGGAACTAGTAAGAGTTGCAGAGCTCTCTTGATTGTTACCAAGGTGATTTCTTTATATCCATGTAAGGACCTGGATTGCTAGTCCACGAAAATAGATGCAAGAATTCTAAACAAGTTGTATACTGAACGATGGGGGCTATTTGTCAAAATATATCTATTTTTACTTGTACAAAGGAAATATTTCCTGGAAAGTTGAATTATTTACACCAGCGGTTTGTTGTTTTTTTCCTTATTTATAAAACGAAAATGCATACGAAAGCATAATTCTAATGGGGAATTTCTTGCGAAGATAGAGACTCACAATGAAAACACTGTTCTGTTGGGAAAATTTTATTCTTTTAACTTTCGTCAGGTCTCAATTGGATCATTCAATTTTAATTTGTTTCAATCAAGTCATTTAATTTGAATTTAACGCATAAATTATCACTCCGTACGTTGGAGTCTTATGTATCGAGTATCCATCCATCCAACCACTAGAACAATACCAAGAGATTCGTTAAACATAAAATTCTCTGTTTAAAGATTCAATCCTTAAAATTTTGCTCCAAAAGAGATTTTAAATTAACGTTTTAAAATAGAGAGTGTATTTAACTCTTCAATTGGAAAGCCAAACTCATTTTCTATAATTAAATGCACTCAAACTCTTTCAATTTTCAATATAGAAAAATAGTTTAACAATTTCAAGAGAAGCTAGCGAAAAAGAAAGATAGGGATATCTAATAAATACTTTTTGGAAACAGTAAAAGTAATTTATAAAAGTAAAGAGACTTTTGGAGCACTTAAAATTTTTACTCTTTAAATTGATAAATATGCTCTTTAAAAATAAAAAGTCTCATAGAGATACTTTTACCACTTATTAGAAGAACAAATTTACCAACATTTCTTCACAATTGAACTTAGGGCTCATTTGGCATAGCATTTGAGAAGTTAAAATGAGTTTTTTAAGGCTTAAAAGTTGTTTTTGAACATGTTTGGTTAATTTTATGCCCTTGTTTAGTCCCATTTATTTTTAAAATATATTTTTCTCTCTTATTTTTAACTGCACATGTTTCAATAAAATAATATTACACATAAATCTAAAATTTATTCTTTATTTTTTAATTATATATTCTCTATCAAAATACTATTTCAAAATGCATCTTGGGCAAAAAAAAAAAAAAATGGAGTTCAAACAGACTCAGGATTATTCTAGTTAGAACAAGTTTTAGAGGAAATTGGTCCAATATAACTTTCTCTAAAAGTATTTTCGAAATAAAAAACTCTATAGAAATGAGTTTTCAAATAAAATTTAAATAGTTTCTTCTAGATGCTCTTTTGCAGAAAGCAAAAACAAAACCTTAGTCTCTGAATCACTTATTTTGCCCAATACAAATCCCTTAAAATAGAGTGTTGCTACAATAGGGAGGGACGAATGTGTCTCCAAAGAAAAACAGGGCCAATGAGTTGCTACGATAGGGAGGGACGACATGTGTCTCCACAGAAAAACAGGGCCACATTCCCTGTTTGAGAAGAATTATTCCTTAAAATATATGCGTATACTCCAAATATATGTTCTATCATTTTTTAATAATTTTTACTTTTAACTTCATAGGATGTAAAGTTTGACTTTTACATCTAATTTTAATATGATTATGCTATTTGTACACTAATTATTGACATCTTTATCGATATTCAATAATGTGTAAAAATATATGCCATTAATTGTTTTAAGTGTTGTTATAATTAATGGTAATGGCCACCTCACACGTTATCAATCAAATTATCAACCAAACTATACATGTGCCAAAATTGTTTTAATATTTAGTTCACTGATTGAGTACTTAGGTAGGTGAAAGTGTTTATGAGATAGAAAATTTTTTCCAAACCTCAAAATGGATTTGCTTAATAGTACGTACTTTAACATGTCATTAAATTTTGGATATTGCTCAATTAGTCAATTTTATTATTTTTCCTGTTATTATGGAGGGTATCGCTCTAAACTAATCCATGATATAATCAAATAAATGATAGTAGCTCATTTATAAGCTTTACATGTTCTGTCGGTGAGTTTATGTAATACTTTCAAATAATGGGTAAAATGCCCAATAGGGAAAATTTATAAGTTCGATTCCTGTTGGATACATTGGGAAGTTTCAGTTCAATCAAATAGATATCCACATATAATTTAAAGGTCAAGTATCTAGGAACCCCCTTTCGAGCACCAGAGATAAAGTTGAGTTTGTATATAGTCGATCTGGTTCCCTAACTTTGCTTTGAAAGTCAATCATTCGAATAAGAGAAAGAAGTGAGGGATCCACATTTTGACTCTAAATCTCTCAATCTAGTTGTTGCTTCATTTTCTATATGCATTTTACATGAACTATGAATACAAAGCAAAAAATAATGGACAAGAGAGTAAAGTTGAAAGATAAGTGCATTTGACACACTTATTTAGGTTGCAAAACATGAATAATTGTTATTAATTATGTCGGAATATGGCTTAATTCTATATAAATTATGTTTTATTGGACAACATTGATGAATATGGTCGAATTTAGAAAAAACAAGTGAAAAGGAACCAAAATTGAAAATCAAAGTTCAGGGACTAATGTGCAATAGTCGAAAGATGACTCGAAAGAAGAAATGAAGAGGTGAAAGAGTCAAAAATCAATTGCGCAAAAGAATGAAGTATTGGAAGAAGAAGAAATAAGAAAAGAGGTCAAGAAATGAGAAAACAGAGTTTGAGGACTAAAACGCAAAATTTGGAAGCTTAGCCACACTATGTGGTTGCATATGTATTTTCCATGCTGTCGTATGGTCATTTTCATCAAGATCCAAGGCCGATTTTCTTTGAACTATACTATCGCATTGATTTGTACTATGCTATAACATCCGTACAATTCCGGCCCGAAAATTTTGGTTTCCTTATTTGATTAAAATTCTTATGGAAATAAATCTTGAGAAATATTTTAAAGTCCTAGGGCCATCCATAAGTATTCACCACATATCATAACACATTCATAGAGGTTTTGGAAATAGAAGGGGGCAAGAAACACGAAGAACAATTCCAAGACTCGAGGATTCAATTCAAGATTTGAATTGGTGATATCGTTTTTCAATACCCTTTTTGTTTTCTTCTTCCTAACACTCTAGGCTAGATTTATTTATGCTAAGAGAATGATGAACTGTGTGACGTGAATTTTTAATCTTTAGTTTTATATATTTGACATCAAAAACATGTTTCTGAATATTGAATAGTTTATATGAATTTCTTTTTCCACTATTATTGTGAACAATAATTGTGCAAATGTGGTAACTTATTTTATGTATTCGAAAAAAGAAAAATAGGTTCGACATGGTATAAATAGTCATAGAGTCCGATAGGGGATAGAGATATATCGCTATGCCTTATGTAAATCTTTAAGTGTTTATAAAAAGTCATGCATTCTTTTATATTCGCATCCGTCATAAAAATATAGGCGGGTCATATATAAGAGTAGGTTTAACATTACTCAAGAGAGATTGTTGAACAAAATATGAACATCATTCTTCAAAATTCAATCGTGTTATCAAAGTGTAAAAATAAGGTTAAAAAGGATTATTGTTTGGGAATTCGGGATCCTAGTACGTTTGTCATTTATTTAAACACATCAACTTTCATTTAGCATATTTTGCATTGAATTTAGTTAATTATTTAATAGTTACTTACGTAACTTATTTTAGTTATAATTTCATCACAACAAACACATCTTAACATCTTGTTTCGACTAAAGCCGTGATAATTAGAATAAAAAAAAATCAATCTCTATGAGATGATACTTAGACTCAAAATTTATTTTATTACTTGTTAACGAATCGTATACTTGTAGTGATTTCAGATCGAAAGATATTATCACATTACAAGTTTTTGGTGTCGTTGCCAGAGTTTGAGTTTTAGTGTGATTTTATTTATCTTGGTACTAATTTGGACTTCTACTTGTATTATTGTATTGTTATTTTCATTTCATTTTAGTTTTTTCATTTTTCTCTTTTTTCAAGATATATAAAGGAACAAAAATAGTAGGATAAAAGATGGCTATGGTTATTTTCAATAAGATGCTCATATGTGACTTCATTACAAGGCAACAACAATTGGCATCTCAATAAATTGATGAGGATGATATGTTTATGTGAGATTTCATTACAAGACAAAGACTACAAAATTTAATAGAAGAATGTTAACTTGATGAAACTCTTCTGGGTGACTTACCTGTTGCATTATTTCTCTCACAACAATTTGATGCGGGTGATTTACCTATGAGATTATCTCTTCCATCGGTTATTAATAGACATCAATTAAGAAAATCACGTTAATCGGATTTCTTACATATACAACAAGAAGAGAAGATTCTTTGAGAAGATGTCATTATTTTTTTGCCGAAAGTTTTGAATACGAACATTGAACTTGAGAGCATTTCAATTAAAGAAGAGGACCATCGAAAGATTGAGGAATTACTCATAAGAGACGAAAAAGAACTTGTAACATTCAAAGAAGAGGAAATTAGCATCCAATTCCTCGACTTTATCGCTTGTACAAAAAAATGATTTGTGATTAAATCTTGCAAGGAGATTTAAGTTTACATTGTTGAGTTTGAAATGGGTGATGAGGGAAAGTCATACTATTTGGAAAAGTGTAAGGTTAAATTTTAGAGGAAAGTTGCAATGTGGAACAAAGTCATATTGAGACAGCAAAGTTAGAACTCCAAAGCCATATTTAAAGTGCCATAACACACTTGTGTTAATAGTTGAGCCCTAGCTAATAAATCGAGAGCTTAACGGGAGGCACCCCATTTTTCTATCCCCTTTCACTTATTTTGATTAGCTATTGCATTATACGTATTTTTAGGGATTGCATTAGCATTTTATAGCCATAGATAGGAACTCATGCATTTAATGATTTTTAAAACATTTTAGATAGTATTTTTAAGACAACATA